GGTGGACTGATTCAATTTCCTATTTGTGAACAGTTAAGATGTCCGCATCCATTCACTCTCAGACAAACATTACAATGTTGACTAGTCCCGGCAATGCCCTAAGGAAATTTGCTTTAGATTCTAACTTCTTTATCTAGCTGGAAGTTTTCACTGGGGAGGGAAATCTACTTGCTTTGCTGCCCATCACCACTTCCTCCTCTTCTCTTCTGCTCTCTGAAGTTTCAGTGATCTACTACCCACCCTCAGCTGGGAAGGACAGGGCTGGCAAGGTGCAGGCATAGCTCAGGGCCTCCTACAACCTTTCCCTGACCCTGGTGTCCTCTTCATAATATCAGGCCCAGAGAGATCATGGCTCAAATGGAGAACAGGATGTCTACTTCACAAGTACTTGAGTGATTTTTCTTGACACTTGCCTATGGAAGAAGCTTCTGAAGCAATGACCTTTGCTGTCGGAATGGCCAGCATTGCACTATCCCCAGAGACACAGTACATCTCACACCTGGTCCCAGCCAGGCAAGTGAATAGAACTAGAAAACGCCACCTTAGCCAGGAGGTGGTGCATGCCTTTAATCCCAGCACTCAGGAGACAGAGGCAGACAGATCTTTGTGAGTTTGAGGCCAACCTGTCTACAGAGCGAGTTTCAGAACAGCCACTCTGTCTTGAAAAAAAACAAAACAAAACAAAACAAAAAACCAAGCAAGCAAACAAAAAAGTATCATCTTGAGTGGGGTAACCCAGACACAGAAAGGCAAACGTTGCATGTTCTCACTCATCTAAGGTTCCTAGCTCCAAATCTTCAGGTGGGAGCACATAATGTAGAGTAACTGCATAAACCAAGAAAGTGAAAAGGTACATGGGAGGGGAGTTGGAGTGCTAGAGAGGATGCAGGTGATTTGAAGGAGAAAATGGGGGGGGCTTTAATTGAGGAGGGAGGTGGAAGGAGGTGCAGAAGAGGGAGGGAGGATGGAAAGGTAACACTGAGGGCATGTATCAGTTACTCTGTATTGCTGTGACATCATGATTGAGGCAACTTCCAGAAGAAAATGTTCAATTAGGGATATAGCTTCAAAGGGCTAGAGTTCATGATGGTAGAGCAAAGGGCCAGTGGCAGGAACAGCTGAGCGCTCACATCTAGATGCAGCAGCAGGCAGAGAGAGAGAGAGAGCACTGGGGATGGTGGGAGGCTTTTGACGTCTCAAAGCTGGGGGAAGGGTGTAACACACTTCCTCTAAAAACACCACACTTCTTAATCCTTCCCAACTATGTCCACCAACTGGGGACCAAGTATTCAACTATATGAGCCTATGGGGGTCATTCTCATTCAAATCACCATAGGATGTTTGAGTAAGCCATAAGGAATTGTTATTTTTATTTACCTAGATTATATATCATACATATAAGTATATAAATAATATTTGTATAATATTATATATTATAACTTATATATTATTTGTACATTATGTATTGTAATATATAATAAATAATATCTAATTATATACATGTATAGATAATTTAAATGAATTTATACCATTTTGACTGATAATGCTTGCCAAAGAGCCACAGACTGTCTAATAAAAATCAAAAGACCCTCTTTTTGATTTGTTAGTTAGACGAGTCCAAGGCACAGAGGATCCAAGCACATCTGGCTTGAAAGCTTCCTTCCTGGGGACTAGCTTCATAGCACAAGAAGGTATTATGAAATCTGCCAAGGGAAGGAAACCTAACAATGACCTACACGGCAAGATACCCCTAAGAGTGCAGTAGTGGCACTCGTGTCTTGGCAGTAACCAACAGCTGTCTAAATGAACTTAACGGTCTGCTCAATAGGAGGGAATCATACCTGATACAGCGAACCTACCACCTACTTAGGTTAGTGAGGTCATCGATCTTAGAGTCGAACCTACTACCACCATTCTAGTAAGCCATCATAATTCCTAACTGCACTGTAAGTATATCCTTAAACCCATGGATAATTATAGCTCTCAGTCCTCATGAAAGGAACCTCTCTTTTGCAATAGACAGAGCACATTACAGAGAAGCACCACCAGCCAAAATGCAGAGAACAACTGGTTCTGGGGTACCCAGCGCCAACTGATGGATCTATAGCACAGTTCCTGCACCCCAGGCTCCGGAAATACTGAGGAAGAGGGGTTAAAAGGATTGTATGAGCCAGAGGACCAGGAAATCTACAGTAAGATTGTGTCTTCAAGAAATGTCAACTTGACTACATCTGTAATGCACTAAAATGCAAATGACTGGGCACATGTGTGAGGATCTTTCTTAATTTGAAGTGGGACAGGCCAAGTCTTCTGGTGGCAATCTATATAGAGGGCATGAAAGAATAAAGCTTTTTGCTCCCTTCCCACTTGCCCTCACTCTGGCTGGCAAATCCATTCCTTCACTGGCATTAGAACCTACTTCTTGGGGATTTTGGTGTATACTAAAGACCAGCTGAGACATCCAGCCTTGTGAACTAAACTTCCAGATTCTGGACTCTCCCTTGGTAGACTAGTAGGACTACAGACTGTAAACCACTCTAATAAAACACCTTCGTGCGCGCGCGCGCGCGCGCGCGCGCACACACACACACACACACACACACACACACACACACACACTCATTCTATCACTTCTGTTCCTCTAGAGAACCCTGACAAACACATCTACATAACAAGTTCCAGGACAGCCAGGGATATATAATGAGACCCTGTCTCAAAAAAAAAAAGTTCCTATTAGATGTAAGTTAATAAGAAAATATTAGAATGATGCTTTAGTCTAGGACAACAGAATAAGAATTCTTTGCCAGATGTTTTCTCTCATGGCAAGTTAGGCATTACCTCTCCCTCAAAGACCAGAAGGCACAAGTCTCTGGCAGGTGGTTTCAGCACCTGCCTGAGAGTTCACAGGTGCAAAGTGGCTCAGTCTGCCTTAGCCTGTTCCAACTGTCCGGAAGACCCACCTAGGCCACCAGGCTGACACTCCCAGAGGAACAGAGAGCCATTGCGTTTACTGAACACTAGGTGCTTCGCAGGCAGCACAGGCTACAGAAGCACACAATCCTGCCTTCCTGGAGCTCATAGTCAGCCAGAGGAAGGCAGATGCTTAACAAACCAGAGGTGCGATGGAGAAAGAGCTCAGGGAAAGCCAAGCAGGGTGCAGAGTGTGGCCGAAGTCAAGGAGCACAGCACACAGAGCACTCAGGAATGACCTCTGACATGAAGCCCTCTAAGCAGGTAGGAGGCAATACAAACACAGGAGTGTGCCTGGCATGTCCGAGGGACAATCATTACAGGCTAGAACTTTGTGGCTTGAGCACTGTGAGTCAGGGTACAGAGGAGGATGACAGTGTCTAGCAGGAAATGGAGGAGGGGCAGAACCTAACAGCATCTCTGGTCACTAGAAGGGCTTTTCTTCTCACTCTATCGGCAGAGAAGTGACCTGTTAAAAGGACTCCTCCAGCATCTGTTGAGAAAAGAATACAGAGTACCAAAACAAAAGCAGGGACAGTGGTCTGGGAAGCCAGAGCAGGAAAGGATGGGACGTGGCATAGAAGGCCAGATGAGGCTACAGTAAGTGGATTCACCTAAAAATCTATTCCTGAGACAGAAGGAATGAATAGCTTTTCACTGCTGCATTGTGGGGACATGAACAAACTAGTTTTGTACAAAAAGCCCTCCTCCCCAGTGTCTGCAGATTCTTTAGGCATTCCCAGGTAGGGAACACCTTTTGGCCATTATTCGGGCCTAAGGCCTCCCTTAATGTTAGACACAAAGATGAGGAATTTGCCTCACAATTCTATGATGCCCTGACTTTGCTAAGAGCATGTAACTATCATAATGAAAAGGGAAGCTGCACTCTGGCTCAGAACATCCTGAAAGCATTCAGCATTTCTCTCCCTTGGCAGCATCCTTCGCCCTTGGGAGCACCATAGGGTCTTTGTACAGTCGTGCTTAGGCACTGCAGATAGAAATTCAGGATACTTAGTCTACAGCCGTACCACCCTAAATGCGCCCGATCCTGTCTGATTTAGGAAGCTAAGCATGGTTGGGCCTGGTTAGTACTTGGATGGGAGAAATACAGGATACTTAATATGTCCCTTTTAGTCTGCTCTCAGATTAGTATGTTGGCTTTTTGAACGCCTACTTGTAGTTAGCAATATTGTCTATTAATTTCATCCTGAAAAGAAGGGCTGCAGGTTCATGGGACAAACCCTGACAGTGAGTGAATGTAATTGGAAAAAAGCTGAACCCAAACTCAGGCCTTCCCTATGTTAGGAGTCAAGGGGCTAAGGAGGAGGGAGGAAAATGAGAGCGATTGCAATCCCTGGTCGAAGGCATTATCAGCAACATGGACAAGTCAAGCAAGATGTGGTAGTCTGAAAGGAAATGGTTCCCACAGGGAGTGGCACTATTAGGAGATGTAACTTTGCTGGGGGTGTGGCCTTGTCAGAGGAAGTGTGTTACTGTGTGTTGGGGGGAGGGACAGACCGAGGTCTCCTATGCTCAGGCGCATTCAGTGTGGAATACAGTTCACTTGCTATTACTTGCAGATCAAAACGTAGAACTCTCAGCTCCTTCTCCACCACGTTTGCCTACATGCCACCATGCTTCCCACCATGATGATAATGAACTAAACCTCATCACCTCAATTAAATGTTTTCCCTCATAAAAGTTGCTGAGGTCATGGTGTCTCTTCACAGCAATAGAAACCCTAACTAAGGCACAAGGGTTGGGATGGTTATACAAGGCCCTGACCCCCATCTAGAGGAGCCAGGGCACCTACTTAAGCTAGGACAGAGTACAGAATTAGACATCTCACATATTTCTTTCTCCATCCTGGAGCACCCCAGTGTCCCCCATTCCCTCCATTCCCTTAGGTGAGGACTTGTAGTCTCTCTGGGTGTCCCCTCCTCGGGTGCTGCTGGGTTCGCTACTGCCTCCTCCATCCCTGGCATACAGGACACTCAGCATCCTCACAGCCCTGCCCCGAGAGTCTGTACCTTACTAAGCCGAGATTCAAAGGCCAGTGAGGTTGAAGACTTGGAACTCTTCATGCCGGAAGGGGTCCCAGGAAGGGGCCGAGCGCGATCAGGGCCATGGCTGCCTGCTTTGGCAACTGGACTCCAGGGCTTGGTGGCACTCCGCATGATGTCCTAGGGAGACCGTCTCTCTGTAGAAGAGTAAAAAGGAAAGCACTTGTCTCCAAAACTGTACTTGTGAGTGACATCATAAAACTTTACAAACTCCATTCAACAAGCTTTGCAGTTGGTACCACAGAATGAGTGTTAAGATATGGCCAGGTATGGAACACTCTGTTCCGAAGATGCTACTTTTGCATGCTGCTCATTTATGTACCTCTGAACAGGTGTTTACCAGTTTATTAAAATGAATATGCAATATGATTGATATTCTGATACTGCTTTTCAGCAAATGATACCTTATTCCTGTTTGTGTCACACTACACATCTGTAAGCACACACACACACACACACACACACACACACACACACACACACACACACACATAGTCCGGCAACTAGTGTCAAGATATAAATGCCCCAGAGCTTTGAAGCTTTGGAACTATCAAAACAATCTCCTTAATTATTAAACACATATAAATGAATTATTTGAGAGTTAGATATCACAGAAATACAAATGACTTTTTTGATAAAAATGGATACTACTTAAAAATTAATAAAACGTATTTTAATTGGTCAGGCCTGACATGCAGGGTTATTTCCCTAGCTAAATTATTTATGAAAGAAAAAAATTGTTCCAAGTATCAGACTGCAAGGCTAGGTTATTCACACCTTTACATCTTTAATCCCAGTGCCCTAGAGGCAGAGGCAGATGGGTCTCTGTGAGTTCAAGACCGGCCTGGTCTATATAACAAGTTCCAGGACAGCCAGGGCTATATAGAGAGACCCTGTCTGCTACTCCCTGGTCTGACACAGAGCGCTACCCTTTCAAAGAACACCCACAGATGGCAAGCACAGAGTTCTATCCTTTCAAAGAACACCCACAGGTGACAGCCAGTTCCGGAAGCCACTCCCATGGGTCACCAGGCTCTGGTTAATCTTAAGGGGTGGTAGCTGGTACCAGAGTGAAAGGTCTCCTCTGCCTCATAGCATCCCAGGATGCTCTGCAGCCCAGCTCAGGCTGTCACCACCTCATGCTCCTGTCCCTTCCCTGAGCAGAAGAAACCATTTCAGCAGACAGTGTCTGTCTCTCCAAGAGTCACCCGGCTCCTCTTCCTCTTCAAGCAAAGTGATGACATAGAGGCATGTGTCCTGTCTAGCTGGTACTCTCTGCACCTGTGTGGACGTGGCTAATGATGGGAATTCTTTATTAGAGATTCGGCAGCCCTGCTCCAGCACGTGTGTGTGCATGGCATGAGCCAAGCCCCGGGTTCCATCCCTAGCACTGCTAGAAACACATACACATTTGTGCATGCAAGTTCAAGAGCATGCATACACATACAGGTGCATGGGCACACACACACACACACACACACACACACACACACTCCTGAATTCATTGTTGGTGAAAGAAAGAAAAAGGACTACCATTTGTTTTTCATAATTTTTCCTGAGGAAAATGACATAGGATTTCAGTTACATGATTCACTTGATACCTTCTCGGTCTCAGCTTGGCTCCAGGTCTTGTGATTTCTTAAAATTTTAGTTTTTAAAAAGAAAAAAAAAGCTTACAACCAATGATTTGCCAATGTTAGCACTGATTATTTTTCTTTCTTGACCCATGCTTTTTCTTTCTGGTTTCCACAGCAACAGTGAAAGAACGCTTAGGTTAAGACCTGCACAGGGACTAGTTTTACTCGGATGCCTCTCTCTCAGTATAGAATAAACTAACGCAGCCTGAGTGAGTCTTCAAGAGAATCAGTGAATTTCGCCCCCAACTATGAGATAACCAGGACCCACTTGACCAAACATCCCCTTTTGTACTAAGCACTACTTAGAAATGGGCCTGGTAGGGCTTATTTATGAAATTACTAGGTGTGTGTTTTCCAAAACTGGCCAAGGTTACCCTTAAAATAAAAACATCTTTAATCTACTCCCCAAAAAAGAAAACTATGAAGCAGCAGGAAAACAATGAACATATTCCCTGTCAGTCATTTTCTTGACTTTTCAGGAGAACTCAATCAGTTAACTGATCAATCTTGATCCAAATTCAAATACATAAGCTCAGTTCTTAATTTCTGGTAACAGAGCTCAAGGCCCGGATGGAGTTTAACCTTCTTTTTTTTAAGTTTGCAGATTGCTTGCTGGGTTTGAAAACCCTCTGGTCACTTGTTGCCATATCACTTTCTGTTCTCTCCTCAGACACTCTGATGATGCAGTTATTTGCAAATAGAGGTCCCAGGTAAGGCATCCACACCACCTTCTCTGAGAGTCTGTCATTCTTTCCCCTGGTAACTGCCACTGGGCTTGGCTCTCCCTTCTGTGCTTACCCACCTGCAAGCCTCTTTTCTGCCAATTCCATCTTTCAGAAGTCAAAATGCTCAATGATGAATCATTAGCATCTGAGCCACCATAACCAATGATGAGAAGAGGGTATCAAAACTGGTCAGGCAGTTTAGGGATGGGAACCACCATTCTTGTCCTGGGCCACATGCCAGCAATGTCTGGTCTTGTCCTGGCTAAAGGCCAGAAATGCCAGAAGGGGGCTCTGTTTCCTGGTCTGGTTTCTTATTAGTTTTCTTCGCCTTTTATACAATTGGAATGAGCTCTACTGCCTAGAAACTATATGTGAAGATGTAACCCAAAACTATGAAGCATCTAGACGCCTCGTGGGTAGTCCAGTTAGATTGACCAGCTCACCTCCCCATGCAGTTGCTGCTCTAAGTCCTACAAGAAGCCCTTAGCCCAGCAGCTTGATGGTGCCCCACTTTCTAGGACCCCCTTCTGCTATACAGGAGCCCTGCCTTCCTTTTCCCCCTTAAGTTCCCACCTAAAATCCTATACTCATACGTCTCTCTAAACTCACCCTCCCATTGTCTGTGAGTTTCACTCTGAGTTCATGAGAAAAGGGACCCGGAAGTCATTGGTTTGGGATAGCTCTGCTGTTCATTGGCTTGTCTGGTACCTTAGCACTACAAACTAGGCACAGGTTAGGTGGGAAATCCTCCACCACCTTTAAGGACTTCTACTCCTCTTTGTTTCACAAGTAGGGCAAGTGCCAGGTGGGATATCCAGGAGTAACCTCTCCCCATCAGCACAGAGAAATGACAACTCAGCTCTGCAAGATCAAAGCAGTCACGGCAAGGAGTAAGTGAGGAAAGATGGGTCCCTGTGCTCCAGATGGAAAGGCAGCCGTAGTGTCTGTCCCTCAGGCGCCATGTCTTAGGAACTTACTAAGTTTCACCCTGTCCTCCACTCCAACCCCGATGAAGATCTTCTCTGTGTCCTGGAACCCTGGCAGTCCCTGGCCACTCTTAGCCTTGGGCTCATCCGACACAGACTTAAGAGAGATGGATCGCCTGAGCTGTCTCAGGCCAACATAGCTCAGGCTAACATTGGTCTTGCCTCCTGCAGGGATGCCTCGTGCTGGACAGGGAGCAGATGCACTCCAGGTCCATCCTGTCCACAGGCTTTCACCCAACCAACCTCCTACCGCATTCACCCCAGTCCTGGCTCTCCGACACACAGAGAACCAGCTAGCTCCATAAATGCTGCAGTGACCTGGTGGCAGCTATGCCATTCCACTTTGAGTAGAAGGTGCTGGCAAATGCCCCATGTGGATGCTTCCTTAAATTACCTCAACCCTGGGAGGTGCTGTTTTGTACTGTAGTCAGAATCCTGGGTATCCCCCAAGTTCACATGGTGAAACCAAAGCCCGAGTGTGGTACTGCTAGGAAGTGGGGCATCTGGGAGACAAATGGGTCAGCGGAGCAGACGTCTTCCAAAAAGGCCCAGTGTCCTTACAGAAATGGCCGGAGAGAACGTTTTTGCCCTTCCATGAAGCGGGAGCACATGAGAAGGTGACAGCATGAACCAGACAGAGAGCTCTCATTGGACGCTGAATCTGCTGGCCCTGATCTTGGACTTGCCAGCCTCCAGAACTGTGAGCAGTAACTTTCACTTATTCAGCTCTAACAAATTAAAACCCTCCCACTGTATCAAAGAGGAAATTCTTGTGGACTCAGAGAGGTCAAGCTACTTGCCTAGGACATAGAACTCATCTGTAGCTTAGATTGAAACCAGGGGTGGACAGGCCATCCGGATAACCTCTGTCCACCTGAGAAACAAGAGGACTGTAGATCAAATGCCCCAGTAGGTCTAGCTCCTCGATGGCTGGGGCCTGGGCATGTCTGAACTCTATGCCTCTCATCATCAGAAGGTGTTACAAGTGGAGACTTCACCAACAGTGAAGGAATAAAGAGAAGATGAACATCACATGCAGGGCACACAGAAGACTCTTCACAAATACCAGTCACCTTCTGTCAAGCCACTGCTTATTAGCTCGACAATATACAGGCACGGATCAATTAAAGCTTCAGGATTCGGGGGTGGGGCTGCCAGGCATACGAGGCAAGTGTTCTTCCTACATACAGAACAGCCTGTTTTCATCTGGAAATACAGACACGGAGAAGCAGAGAGGAAAATAAACACAGAGGCGGACGCCTTACAGTCTTTGGTTCGTTTTTAGAAAATCTGGGCTGCCGCAAGATAAACACAGGTGGGCACACTTGCTGAGTAATGGCTCTCTCCTAGATGTGAATCAGTAACAGAAAAGAAATAGGCGGCCTCTGGCCAGGGACAGGGTAGCCAGGCGGGAACAAAAAGAGTTTCTAGCCTTAATTCTCCAATTTCCTAAACTCCTCATAAGCAATACAAAGGGCCAAATCGATTAAAGAATTACCACGAATTTGGGAACTTGTTCGAGAGAAGGGATGGGAGATGGAAGGGAGACATGGGGGGGGAGGTCTTCCCAGGGGTGTTTTCTTTTTAAAATTTCAAGCATTTTATTTTGATGCCAAGCTTCATCCCTGTTCAGAACAGTGTAAGACTTACATTTAAACTGTCTGCCATGAACTGCACAGCATAAAGTAGTGAGGAGAAGAGGGAAGGGAGGTGAGGCTTGGAGGAGAGGAGGGGCACACAACAGGGGAATACAAAAAGGTGCTGTGTCCCAGCAAAGTTTAGGAACTGT